TAAACTGCCAGATATACAAAATCAAGAGGTTTAATCAAAGGGATCCTCACTTGATGTACAAGTCACTCACCCCCCAAAATTCAACACTTGCTGCACATGAATGAACTATCCCAGGGCTAAGCTTGCAGCTGGCATGAAGGGGTTTGCAGCTCCACTGAAGTAAATAGACTTAAGCCAGGGACAAATTTGGTCCTGGGACAGTACCATGTCATTTTTGCCTTTTGACACCACCACTTTTCTAAACGACTGAGCCCACTGTATGACCACTGCAGAACTCAGCACACCCATGGTTAATACTGGAGGTGCTGAGCGCGTAGGGGGAAAAAAAAGTGTTACTCTCAGTTGTTAAAGCCCATATACTGAAAGCAACACGAATTAGTAGAGTTGGAACAACAAAGCAAAATAAATTAAATGACTTCAAATGAAAGCCACTTTTGTCTAATACTGATGATTGAGAGAAGCTGCTGATTGGCTGAGCTGCCTCCCTTCGTTTGCTGTAGTGTTCCAAGCATGTAAAGGCAAATTTTAATCCAGGTATGTCTGCATTAGCCATAAAATGGGGGTGGGTTATCTGCCAGAAGTGATCAAAAAAGGGAGATCTGCATTAGACGTATGGAGCCAGCCTGAAGACTCGCATTTTAAGCACTGCCCTCTTCTAGAAGAATTTGCAATCTATAAAACTCCCGCTAGAACAAAGGGGAGGGACTATGAAGGGGGCTCAGGGATTTCCCCCTTCTGTGGAAACAATTCCTGCCTGCAGAATGTTGGAGTTACCAAAGACTTTTCTACACGGCTGTCGAAACATGCTCCCGACGCACACAAACAGGACTGGTTACTATTTGGGCCGGTAGCTTAGTTCACTCTTCCTGCCTGCACAAGCTGAGCCAAAGGAAACAAGCAGGTCAGCAATGTGAGTTTCCTTCAAATACAAAAAGGAGATCTCTATAAAAATAGCTGAATTAAGTCCCCGAGGACTTCCAGCAGGATTCTGATTCTCTCTCTACAAACATGCACATTGATTTAAAAAAAAAGGTATAGCCAGTTATTCTAATGCTGCCTAGGCAAACGTCAAGAACAGGTCCACTTTGCAATCAGATTTTCCCTTTGTGAAGACGGATGGGAGTCTTGTTCAAGAGAACTGTCTGCTCCTTGATCAAGCTACAATCAGAAGATGCTAAACCTGGATTTTCAAACGTATTTTCTCGCTTGCATAAGCCTTTGTAAATGTTACCTAATTTTACCATTCAGAGTAAATATTGGCACAATCTTTGTTCTTCAGGAATATACTGTGGCTCTGCTGTTCACAAAGCAGACATTAGTGATTTAAATTACCAAAGACAGATGAAAACTAACAAAAGCAAGCAGGACTTTAGGACATAAAGGGCGCATCTACATGTGAATGGCTACTGCATGGTAACCAAAAATTACTGCACAGTATGGGTGCATGGCTACACGTCCATGCTCGTACTGCGCAGTAACTATGGCAACTTACACCTAGTAGGTACTGTGCAGTAAGATACATGTAGACACCTTACTGCACAGTAACCCTGTGTGTGGATTGACTTGGGGGTAACATGAGTAGTCCCAAGTCAGTCCACACAGCGTTACTGCACTGTAATGCCTGCACTTGTAGATGCTGGTGTAAAACCCACTTATTGCGCAGTAAACGCACGTGTAGACACACCCGATTTAAACAACACTCCAAACCCAAACTTACCAGACTACTTTGTTAAAACTGCATTTGGAACCTGTCTTGCAAACCTTACCTCCCACCACAAAGTACCTGTTTTATATCTGCAAAATGCAGCGCGCGCACACACACACACACACGACTTGCTCACATGGCAGAGTTTTATTCCCTGTTAGTGTAAAGAAGAAAAAAAAAATAAAACCTAGACAGACATTCACACAACAGAAAAGATTGTTCAAGTACCAAATAAGGGGCTTTTCCAAACTTGTCAAAGTGTGACACTCCTTTAGCAATTCTGCTGTTTTAAAACAGCCATAGCATTCAGTTATGGATGCGTTACGATCCAGGTTTGCACAGTGAGCAAGTGTTAGGGCAACCAAGATCCCACCCCCCCTTAGTTCTTAAAACAGCAAAGTTTCAACATTCATTTCCACAGTGCCCATTATGGCTACTTGGCCTGGACAAGGCTGAGATTTGCTTTGACTTCTGTTCTTTTGAAACGTGAGTACAAATTGGAATTTGGATTTCATAAAGCGGGCAGGCAGGATTCTCTTTTCACATGGAGTTTTCCACCAAAGGAATCTCTTGCTTACACTGGTGTATGAGAGAAAAAACTGGATCCATTGCACGTGGAGTAGACTTTGCTCTTTTAGTCATATTTGGAAGGGTGTGTGCATGTGTACGCACATGTGAAAGGGGCACTGGATTCTGATATGGAAAGGAGGGCGATACTAGCTAAGAACTCAGACCGAGAGGTGCAGAGCAGTTACCGCAACCCTACTTCCAAACACAGGATAGTTTCAGACTATTTATCCTCTATTTAACTAGAAAATAAACCATCATGAAGCACTGGTGCAGCAACCCATCTCTCTGCAGTCATCCATCGCTCCTCTGTGCCCTTCATCGTACTTGCCTTTCAGTCTGCAACTGATTAGCATGACACACACCCATAGGGGCTCATTAAAATTGTGACTATTAAAAAGGTGTAACGGGAGATTTGGAAGTTTATAAACTTTAGCAACAGGTAATTCCTGGCTGATGTACTGTGCGTAACGGGCACAATGGGAACTGTGGAAGTAGATCTTGTTTCCCATTCATGAGAAAGCAAAATACTGAATCACCCCATGATCCCTGCAAATGTACTTCAAAACAGATAAGAAACTGTGCATATTTGAAAGTTTCAACATTATTTTCCCCATTTAACACTGTGCAAAAAAGGTTTATTCAAATCTACATACATTTAATACAATGTGGGTCAGTGAGATTGGTACTAGTCCAGATGCAGTCAGGAAAGAGATGGCTGCTCCAGTAAACTGAGTACACTGTCCTCCCCCCCATCTTCTGACCCTTGAAACCAGAACGTTTCAGCACTCTATGCATACACAGTATCACATGCTGTTGGTTTAGAAGAGTTTTCTTCGTTTGTTTTGTCTTCATATCATCTCTTATGCATTTGTTTTAGGCCTGCAAACAGCTGGTTTTAGTACTGGGGGTCTAATCTTGCACCTGACAGGCCCAATTCAGTTTTCTAGGTCCTGGAGTTAAAAATGGTGACTGGGAGTAGTGGCATAAAACCCACTCTGAATTAAAGAATCAGGCCAACCAAAAATGAGTGGAAACGGGGACAAGGCCCTGAATGGATTATACCCGTTACATATTTCGGTCAGCTTTGAGACCCATTTTTCTCTTGCCACGAGCGCAAAAATAGATGCAATAGTAGGTGTGCAATGGCATGTGAGTACAAAAGTGGGTCAACACACTAGCAGCTGTGTCTTATGTGCCTAAATCAAGTGCATAAAGACATACTGGCAAAACAGGAGCTCTCAGGGATGGAAAGGGCAAGCAAGGGATTTCCAGGTAGAATTTGAACGTAGTCCTAATCTGAAAGTTAGGGGAAAGTAATAGGAAATGCTTCTTGATGGCTTTTAGCTTTCTATTACGTATTGCTCACAGCAACGCAGCACCTGGGATTAGGGAAGAGGACCAAAATAGGAGGTTCTGAATTCAGCCACGCCACTGTAAAGCCAAAGTAACATAGAAGCCAATGGAAATCCTCTGTATTTATGCTGGCATAACCGAACACAAGAACTAGTCTAAAATGTCACAAAAATGAAGGCAACTAGGGACACGTCTGACACAGCTCCATTTCCCCCCCTCCCCCGTACAGCTACCATTGGTGCTATGGGCCTGCAAATCATTGTGTGGTTTAAAAAACCTGACCTTTCTCAGATTAAAACAATATAACTGCTACAGTGCTCACAGTTCCTATAGCAAGATACTTAACAGTCAGGTTGCCCTTTCAGCCTAACTCTTTTCTCTTGCAAGTGAAAAATCAGGGATAAACTTCCCATGGACTTCAATGGAGTCACCATTGTAAGCAAGAGAAGAACTCTGACACAGAGGTAGATTTTTTCTAAGGCAAAGATAGCCATTAAGCGCCCAACAGCCACTGATTTTTCATTTGGAGTTAGACACCCAACTACAAAGTATATATCTGACAAACCTTCCTCATCATGAACTTGGATTAGAGTCAACATGGGAAGGCATGTTGGATGTAGAGATGAGTTGCCAGAGTAAAACATACAAGTTACTCAAGAGATGCAGTTTCTTCTTAAAGAAGAATTTCTGTTCCTGATACAATTGGAGATGTGATTCTGGCTTTTCATTGAATGCAGCTCAGCAGCCACATGGATGCAAAATAGGAAGGAAACTGGGGTCTTGCATTTGTCTCAGTCTTCTCACACAGCAATCTATATGCTTCAGTCTGTGGGGCTTTTTCAGCTGGACAATTCTTCATTTGAAGATCACATTCTAACTGGTTAACCAGCACCTGGATGTACCCAGGGGCATAAATAGTGCAAAATAAAGTGTTTCTTGGACTCACCAAGCAACCTAGATTGCCTTTCCCGCTAGCATTTCAGTGCTCAAGACTTGTCACTTCCCTGCTCAGGAATTATTAATTTTCTGCTTAATAATACTAACTTATAGTGCCTTTGACTGGTAATTTCACAATGTAAACATTAATTAAACCTCCACAGGCTTGGCATTATTCCCCAGGGCTTATAAGAAGTCTGGGCTCAAACAGGAAGCCAGTAGCAAGATCAGAACAGACCAGGGAGTGCCAACTTGCAGCCTAGTGTTTGAATGATTAGACTGTCTTCCTTCCTGTAGAATGGGCACATATCAGAATGTACCACTGTCATTGAAGGAAGCAAGATTAAATTATTTCACTACACACTGAATAACTACTTTGCCAGCTCTGCCTTGATGCCAAACAAAGAAAAAAAAATATGAAGTGTGGCAGAAACGGCTAAATTAGAGACCTAGGAGGAACAAACAACCAATAGCTAAGGAAACAATTTATTCTTTTCAAGTGAAACTGTTCCTTGGATTTAACTCATTAGGAATTGCTACAGCTGAAAAAAACATGGCTACTTAGTCCCATACTGCTACAGGTAAACTAGTGCTGGCAAGTGCCTAGAAGTCTGTTAGCAGTAGATCAATTTCCAGAACTGGCATCACTGGATGAGTTGGTGTTGAGGTTAGTGTTTTGTCAGCTGGGCAACATTAATTATGGCTACAAGAAGAGGAATTAAGTTCAGCACCTGTAACATCTTGCATAACCTTGACTTCAGTGGAATGACAGACCAGAATCTGGTTTATGACCACCAATTCAAATGGGAACTCTAGTTATGAACAGAAGCAAGTTGGAGGACTATCACTCAGGTAATTATTTGGTATAACAAGCCATCCAGAAGCATTGCATTGCACCTTTTCTTTACACTTACATTTAAAATGTACAAGGGTTTCAAACAGAGTAGTTAAACGTTCAGCAACACAACTCAAAATAAGAGTGCCAGCTTCATTCTGGTTTACATTCTGAAGCATATTATCTTAAAAATTGGGAAGAAGAGAGTGCTTTCAGGGAGGTGAAGAGAGAGGGAGGGAGGGAAGGGGGAGCTATTACATCAAATCAGACAGATTAGTGTTTTCAAAGCCACGCAAGAAGTTTTAGCTTTTCCTTTTATTTGTTTCAAGTTTTGGTGTAAAAAGTATGTGCGGATGCTAACGCAAACTTTCCCCAGAAGTGCTCAATCCAGCAACAAATCGTTTTGGTGGGTTCAATTTGGTTATGTTTCCTTTAAGCGAAGACCTGTAGTGCCATTGAAACCAAAACTTTGTTACTGTTGGTAAAAAATAAAGCAACTTTTCTTTATAAGGATTTTCCCCCCATTTAAATAAAAACCTGAAGCTTTCCAATAATTCCTTTGGTCTTCTCTCACCAAATTCCATGCTACCTCAAGACAAGCCCTCTTTTGGAAGTTCGGCTGAATCGCAGTGAAGCTGTTCATGTAGCAGAGAACATTGCTGTGGTAGAGTTTCCCCCTAGTTCCTTGGAGTTTAAGACTGAAAGACTGTACTGATGCCTCTACAGAGGCGCCCACATTATCTCTACAAGAACGAGAAAACAAAATCCCAATCAAAAGTTCTGCTGAAGGTGCCTGGCAAAAAAATCCTCTCCATAAAATGATGTTTTGCTTCCAGTTTCTTTTTTGTATGAATGTTGAGTTTATTCCCCTCCCACAAAGGAAACAAAAAGGATCAGTGTAAAAGTACAGCTGAGCTTTAGGTAGCACCAGGACACCTACACCCAAGTTGTCATCTTGTTGCTGCTAGGCCTCTTTGATTCACATTCACAGAATCACTTCTTGTGCAAAACAAGCAGTCTAAGGAGAAAGAATGCCCTCCAAGTTCTAATAAAAACTGTAGAAAAAAAATCCAAGATAGCCAACACTTTTCTCCTCCCCAGAATTTATCTGCAAAAGGAGGACGGCATCTGTGCGTAGACAGGATAGGCAAGCCTGACATTTAAGGAATCATTGTGTTGGACGAGGGATGTCTGCTGGTAATGAAGGACTAATTCCTTAAGTGTGCTGTACAGGTTATATGGTTCTGCAAACCCATAACCCCTTGGAGTGCTGTAGATCACACAGTGTTTAACTTCTCCATCAGCTCTGTAAGGAAAGAAACACGACAGTTTAACAAGCAGGAACAAACCTGAGAGCAACACAAACTAAACATTAAGAGGTAACAAGTCCAGCACGGATACTTTACAGTCAAAACAAAGAAGCCTAGTAAAGAGGAATAGGGCCACCACAGCAAAGAACCCATGAAGGAGGGATGCTTCCAGAGATGGTGGCTAGGCATTCTTACAGTGTGCCACAATGGAAAGAAACTAGTCATGGGACAGCTCCTTCCTGCCATCCCAGTGCCCACTGTTTGGTCCTGCAGCTAAAAAAGGGTCAGCATTCACTGGCTGCTGGCTTTCAGCAAGCCAGACTAGAACTTCACTTACTCTTCCCAGTGGCCTTTCCTTAGAGATTAATGGAGTGGTTCTCAAAAATCAGCTATATAAATCATCTCTTTTGTAATTCAAACACTAGACATGTGACAGTCATCTCTTCTAGACAGCTCCCACTCCTCTAGGGACATGTAGCCTGCTCTAGCTCTAGAAGCCTCCAAAAACAAAGCTTGCTGTAGATCTGTACTTCAGAAACCACAAAAGAGAAATGACAATGTGCAGATGCTGAGGTCTGGGTATGTATGTCCATGGATAAAAGGATTCCTCAATAGTGATCATCTACAGAATTTCTAAAAGGTACCTCCATAGCACACAGGCATAATTTGACTCATTCCTTAATGAAGGAAGGTAGGGGGAAAAAAAAGACAAAAGGAAAACCATAAAGAAGGAGAAAACAGTGTTATGGGCTTGAAGAAAGCTTCACAACATGAAAGCAACTCCTGTTGCTGTAAACTGTAAGACACTTATTCAAGCAACAATTCAGTTCGATGAGCCCAGTGAACTAAACCAACAAGATCTCGTGAGCAGTGGTTTGTTAAATGAGGTTTTCAGGGGTTTCCATCAAGTGCACTGTGGGTGGGCAGCAGAACTAGGGAGTAAGTACTCTTGGGATTTTCACATGACAAGGGCTCCTGCTGCACCAGGTCTCGATGTTCCAAGACCACCCAAATCCCCCTCCTGAAGTGTCAGTTAAAACAGACTAAAGTTGCACTAATCTTACATTAAAACAAGTGAGAAGCAGAGTCAAACCCAGAATAAAACATGAATGCCCAGAACACCCATTTCTCACAAACGCTGTTTTCCTTAAAAAGTGCCACCATGAATTTAAAATATAGCAGAAATGTGGAGCTGGAGTTTGACATGTCTGCGGGTCTCAAAACAATATCAGAATATTTCAGCTCAGCTTCTGCTAGCCTTCTTCTTTGGAAAAGCATGGGAAAAATTTAGCCCCCGCTGCCCTCCTTAAACGATACATTATTATAGAGCTTCAATACGCAATACTGCAAGACTCCTGCTTGGTAATTTTATGACTGAAGTTATAGACCCATAGCGTTGGAAGAGACCTCAAAGGTTACCTACTTCAAGTCTGAAGGTGGCAAGAACCACAATACCTGTGGTTCCAACTCAAATGGCTCTAAAAACTGCCATTTTAGCTAGCCTCACACTCTACATACTGCACACATTTGAGCACATTAAGGTCTACAGTGACTTGTTTTCCCTAACAAGTGTAAATGGAAGATGCCCAAGATAAACAGTCAAGAAGTTCCTGAGGAAATCAGGTCACAAAGAACAGACTTACACCACAGAACAAGCATAACATCCTTTCTTGCTACTTTCTCGAATTAAAAATGATCCGTCAGGTTTCCCACAGAGCAAGTCTTCTGCCTGGATACGGTTGAGATCCCCAACAAACCAAGTTTTCTCATCGTAGTGTGGCAGATTTTCATCTTCTTCATTCACGAAGTATGTACTAGAGAAGATGGAACTTGTTAGCTCAGCCACTCATTTATTGTAGGATTCAAGTCATAAAGGAGGAGGATTTACTCTTGCATTAAAAAAAAGGTACAACACAACTGGGAAGAGGCTGCTCAAATTGGGAGGTCAGTCTCCTGTGTTTCCCTGGCACCAGCTAAGACACCTTATTATTCCCAAAGATAGCTGTATGCACATTAGCTCAGCACAGAGCTGTTGGCTCAAATGACACAAAGCTTCCAATGGAGAAAGAATGACAATCCTTTATAGAGAAATAGGCATTTCACATTAGCGAGTGCCTCAACTGGAAGTCTGAGCTCTGCCACTTATCAGCAAGACTAAACATACAAGGGCACTTACTCATCAATATTTTCATTCTTGATTCCCAGCCAGTCATTTATTCGCTTCTGCCTCACTCCTTTGTGATTGAGCCATCTGCCAGAAGAGAAGAGAGGGCATTAATCTCTTTCCTAGTTGTTGGTTACTGACCAAACAGGATCAAGGGAAGCTCAGGACACAGAACCCAGGAAGAATGTACTGACAGTCACAGGTAACCCACTATGGGAAAACAAAAGCAGGCTCAGAACTTGCAAGGCTTATCCTCTGACACTCTTGGGGACACCCTCTTCACAGGGTTGGGGGAGGGGTGTGAGGCGGAACAACAGAAAAACTAAGATGCCCTTTTCACTGGAAGGGATGGTATGAAAGAGCAGGAGCAAAAAAAAGGGACAGCCCATAAACACTAGAAGTTACGGGCCAAGTCTCCTGGTGATGGCAGCCTGCTTCCTTCCCCCCCAAAAAAAACATCTCGTCACTACTGACGTCTTCCCGCTTTCCCCTGAAGGCATCTGGGCACCGAGGAGTGTGGTGTGCCTTTTTCAAGTACCTGCCAGGTTCAGAAGACTCTACTACAGTGCACGATCTCTTCAGACCCATGAATTCCTACTCCTATTGGCAGAGGGTGGGGTGGGGGAGAAAGGAGGGGAGAGTGAGCATGACACTCAAGAGCTTTGCTTGCTGCTCTCCCCAGCTTTGTTCTACCAGCTTCTGCTCATGTTTAATAAAAAGTGAATGCTGGATGACAGCATCCATCATCCTTTTTGCTTCAACTCACAAGAATCCTACATGCATGTTGTGAATTCTGGCCTATAGCGGATATGGTTTGACAGCCAACTGCTGCAGTAATTAAGACACAATGTTACTATAGGAGCAATGGAAAGGATAACCCAATCACTCTGCACTTTGGGTCTAGTGTATTAATGCCAACAATTCTGATCATAAAAGAAGCTACACTCTTGTTACCATCATGAGCACAGAGAATGATGAAGACTGCATTGGCTAGTTTCATCACTGGCATTGGTTTGAGTGACGTGTGCTTTGCCTACTTACACAAGGTACTGATCTCTGATCTTGCGCAGCTGGATGAGATCAGGTTTGATACTGTTCATTTTCTTATCAATTTCCCTGTTGTCCAGAGCTTGTTTCTTCAAATCCTGCTCCAAACGCATTTTACTATCGTGGATCTCACCCAGGCGTGATTTTAATTTCTCATAATTCATCATGATTCTAGAAGGAAGTTTAAACATTACAAAGCAGAGAAATGGAACAATTCTAGTCCAGAGGGTCTAGCCTTGAGAATGGCTTGTGTCTTCATGCACAGAAAAACCCAAAAAACGCAAAATAAGATATAGAAGAAGTGAGAGCTTTATTTCCCCTAATCTAAACATCAGTTTAATTACTACTATGGTAAAACTCTAGATTAAGCGCAGCTCTATCCAAAAAGTGACCAATGGTGTGCCCCTTTCCTATCCTTGGTCTGCGCTCTTTGTGTAATAATATTCAGATCCTATTTTAATGTGTTTTCATTCTTAACAGGTATTTTTCAGAGCATGAAATAGCTTGATTCCTCCTCCGCTCTCAGATTCACTTACTAGGTTCTAGTCAGTTATGTAACTCCAGTACAGGTATCTGACAGCAGGGTTTGTCCTGTAGACTTTCGATATTGGTGATTACGTGCAAGCTAGAAAGAACACAACTTGGACTCTCAGATCTCAGATTAGCTTGCAGGCCTGGCAACGTTGGGAGAGGGACCCCTCCCCCCGAGAGACACCCCTCAACATTCTTTCACTTTATCTGTACAAATAATGGCACAATCGACATAGGTTCAGAATGAAGCATGGAAGCTTTGTGGTATCTTTTCAGACTAGAATCGATTGTTAATGACTTGACTGCGATTTTTATGAAACCCCATCAGCTTAGCCACCATATTTATCCTTTTGACTATAGTTTCAGCTATTTGGCATTATTTGCAAATATCTCAGTAGGAACATTTAAGTAACTGGCAAAAAACAACTGCTTATTCCAAGAAAGGAAAACTTATTATCTACTCTGCACAAAATGTCTGACAATATTTAATTACTGCGTAACCCTATACAAAAGTGGGAGCTTAATTGCAAAACCTCTTTGTCTCAGAATCAGACTGTTTGGAAACAGATAGCGCCTCACTGCTGTGAAGTGCTGCCTGCATTTATGGCGCACTACAAACATTTTGAATACAGAAGAAGGGAGAGGCTGGTTTGCAGTAGGTAGCTGCCCAAATTATTACAGCAGCTTTAGATGACAACAATGGCTATTCTTTAAAGGATTATGTATTAAACAGAAAGGATTGCACTGCCTTATTGTGCTTGGTGCTGACACAGCTGAACAACAAGGGTGACACCTTCTTAGACGGTTTCACCCTTAACCATTAATTTCTCTTACAGGGTTTTGTCAGATAACCAGTCTTGTAACACAAATGCATTTTTAAGGGGGTGGTGGGAGTAGCTGGGTTTCAACATATCTTTAGAATCCATTCTAAAGAATATTTTGATGCAATTCCCACTGGATTTAAATGGCTTCTGGATTTCTATTAGAAGATCCACTGACAGGTACCAGCAATTGAGTATGGTCTACGTTGAAAAGGGACTAAACTGTGACTGGAGGGGTTCCAGCTTTAAAGCAGTTCTGGTTGCCATATCAAATGTGCTCAGATTACAGGCAAAAAGACCCTGTCCTCCAACTGCATTTCACGCAAATTCAACTGGGGTCCAAGAGCTGGACTATATGGCGTTGTTTATTTTGAACACACAGTGTTAAGGTGTGTGAGGTACAACCCAATTAGGCCCTCAGGCTGTAAAAATGTCAGAGTTGTCATAGCACTGGCTGTGCAGCGACATGTCCTGCATTGGAGAAGATGCCTGTCATACCCATACACTGCCCCTTTAAAGCAGCTGGCAAGAGTGCCCAAAAGCAGCCTGGTTAACCAGCCCCACGCCATAATTGCACTGTAAGTGAACAGATGCTCTCCACAATAAGGCAAAACAAAAGTGTTACTAGGTATAGTCATGCAAAGATTTGAGGATTTGTGGAGTGGCAGCACAAGAAAGTCAGCATATGGGTGTGTTTGACACAAAATGTTTTCTGTCATGACAAGGATAATGCCTGTTTGTAGCCTCACTGACATGTCCCAGTTGAAGCCAATTCATCCGTGTAACTAGAATTTGGTTAACAGTTCTGTTGCTGATGCTTGTGGAGGAATAGTTCTGTTCTTGTCCATGGATGAGATATAAAAGTCTTTCTATATACTTTTGAAGTTTCAGTACAATATTATTTTAGTAAGTATGATGATTAAACACCGCCCCCGGGAACAGGTCTACTGAGCCAGATGGGGCCATTTTTCAGGGCAGAATCACTTTAACATCACACACTGAAGACTGCCTTGCTACTGTCCCTATATATATGTATCTCTCAACTGCTTCACAGAAATACCTTACTGACTTCAATTAGAACTGTAGCTTAATGTGGACCTAAGATAACTTCCGTGACGTTTTTTCAACTTCATAAATAAGAATTAAGAATAAGCCAGTTCAGTAATTAAGAAATAATCCAGAGCACTATTCTAGAATAATGGTTTTGGACTGAATTCTGCTGACTGACACTTAAGAGCTGCATGTGCAAGAACACAGCTGACAAGGGGATTTGATTTAAAAATTAGTTGCGAGTCAATGTACACTTAAGTATTAGAACAAAGAAGTCAGTTAAGTTTTTAGATCCTGCTTTACCTATAAAAGCAGTTTTCCTTCTACCTTGACAATATTTGAATTCAGAAGGACACGCTTATCCATGCCTGACATCTTCCTGAGGAGAGCTTTAAGTTGTAAATAGCTTACTTCATAGAAGTTTAGAGGCCAGGGCCGGGGAGGAGGAAGTTAGATGCACTGAAATTCTTCTTTTCGAAATGCTTCAAGCAGGGATCAAAACCTCCACTGGAAGTGCTGTACTTCTTTCCTTGTTTCAGAACAGATCTTAGTAAAGGAAATTCTTGGGGGTGACAATGACGCATCTGTTTCACATGGAAAAGCACACATGCAGTTTACTTCCACAAGTAGTTTGAGATCTTACCTTTCTATTTCTTTCTCATTCCCCTCTCTCCGAAATCGTTCAATATATTCTTTGCTATATCGCTCTTGCGTGTGGCACTGTTCCTCAAATATTTTAATGGTTTCATTAAATGCTTCAATTGCAGTCCTCTTCATCTGAATTTCCTTCATGAAAAAAATTAAACACAAAAAGCATCCTTAGTCATTAGTATCATGAATTAAGTTACAGTGCAAAACTCAATTATGCTTCCCAAACTGAATTGAGATAAAGGGTTTTTAATACTCTGGTACAGTCAGAGTGTTTGATTAAGTTAGGTTTTTCTTTTGGGTGAAAACCTCAGTCGCCCCAAACCGTTTCTCCTGCTAAAATGGGCTTTCTTGTACTCGTGATAAGGTTTCCTTCAATACAGAAACCCACCACAGATCTTTCGAGTTGAATTTCAGGTCCTAGCTTATTATTTCCAGTAACACAATTAAGTCAATGAGACCTATTTCTGCCCCCCCCACCGCAGCAAAATCAGTCTGAACACCACAGTCTTGCTACTGTAAAACAAAGCGTTGATTTCTGACCTTAAACTGGACAGCAAGCTGCCTGAAACAGAACCTGAAAGGATGCCCTTTGATAGCTCCTCCTAGAAATGTTATGCTATAGCAATATCTATACTATGAGTTCCCCCAAGTGCAATAGAGGCTCCCTCAAAAGACCCCTTCGTTATTTGTAGGCTACCTCCAAAAGTGAGAGTTTTGTGCATGTCTGGGCTATACCACTTCCAGTTCAGCAGGCAGCCCATGCTAAGCAGCTAGGCATGTTTGAGCATGCTGCTGTCAAGTACAGTAACTTTCTAGTCTAGACATAGCCCTTGATTCTTATATAAAAAGGTACTGGGGCATACGGTGCCTAGAGACACCCTTGGCCAGCTGTTGAAGGAATGCACAGCCCAGGCACTGCCTACGACAGTGTGATTACTGGCTGATACTCTCCCCACTGCCACTGTACTATGCCATAGTACAGAAGCTCAGAGAATAAAACATTCGGTAAATAAAGGAAATGTAATTGATAACTCTGAAACTGACCTGCCGCACCACAAGACTAAGCCAAAAATATTTTTTGGTTAGGCTTTGTCTTTATTTCCTCAGCTTGTTTACTACATGTGGCTTTGCCAGTCATTTTCTTCTAGTAACCTGTTTTTCTGTCTTCCTATGGATAAAAGTTATGTTTGTCAAACAGCTGCTGTAATGACCAACAGACAGTCTAGGAACCAACCTGTGATGTTCTGGTGTATTCTTCATAGAGTCTGTCATATTCTTTACTCTTCTCCTGATACTGGGAGTGGTATTCTTGAAGCTTTTTACCAACTGCATCTATATTGTCTTCTTTTACCAACTGATCCTGTACATGCCAGAGAAAAAGCAAGCAGGGAAGACTTTAGTTAAAGTTGTTTCTTCAAGCATTACTTACTTGTCTGCCTAGTAAATACTCTTATTTCTGCAATTCAGTTTGCAACTATTTTTACATTAAGCTTCTAGAAGCACAGGGCAGAGACAGCCAGCTCTAGCAAAGCAAAAAAATAAAAATCCACTGTTAAAAAGGCAAGTATTCAGGAATATGGAACTCTGAGAACAGCACCAAAGAATATTAATTAAACTGAAAAAAAAACACTTAACATCTTAAGCTGCCTAGTGGCCCCTTAGAAAAAGAGGGACAATAAGGAAAAATGCAGACAGGAGAAGAGATCAAAGCTTTTTTTTTTTTTTGGGGGGATTAAAAAGAGATGCGGAGACCTTTTGGAAACCTGCTCTAACACTGAAGAGTCTTGCTCAGATGCCTGCATAGCATAGAAGGAACAGGGGTAGGGAAGGGAGAAGTCAGCTTAAAGCCCTGGCTCTACATAGAGAAGTCAAAATTTTATGGCCAGGAAAACCAATGAACAGCACATGTATCAGCTATCAGTTGTTTGCCTCTATCTGGAAACCTCACCTGTTGGTACCGGGATACCGGATACATCAACTTCACATCAAGCTTTGGATTGTACTGAGCAAGAGACTCATGGCGGTAGTGGTTTATCAGCTCCACGACAGAATTAAATGTTAGTGGATCAGAAAAACCATATTTTCCATCCCGATGATAAATCTTGATCAATTTGTTGTTGCCACCCTTCCTGGAAGGCAAAATACTAGCTTAGATGCTTTGTTGTGCATGTTATCTCCTCCCAACGCAGACTGTGGCCACTCATACCAACATTCTTCATGGAGATGACAGAGCAATTCTAAGATAAGAATCTGAAAAAACTAGTCAATCTTTTACTTTCACTTTAAGTAAAAAGTACCTAATATTCAGTAGTATATAAAAAATAAGTTACAGGCTCTGCAAACTTCAGTATTTCCTGATGTTCAAACAAAGTAAAAGTCACTTGCCACGTACATTCTGGGACCCACTTACTGAATTTAAGATGGAGCTTAACTAGAAACTCTCCAGAAGAATGGATGCTCGAGGGCCAGCGAGGGAGCCATATAAAAAGCCCAGACTTGTTTGAAAAGTATGGAGTGAGTGGTATTATGTCTGCCCACTTTTCCTAAAGGTTGCTGATCCCTGCTCTAGGGGACTTTAATATTTCTAAGGAAAGGCAAACATTTACCCCACAGAGCTAAGATACGGCAAATTCCACCTTTGGTAAATACAGTCAAAGATTCTGTAGAATTATACTCTAGAGTGAGATCAGACTCCATTCCCTCCTACTAGAACTTTCAACACATTATAGAACTTTTCACCACGCTTACAACAAGAGAGCTAGTTCATATAGTAACGTCCAACTAAACAATGGGAAGATGCATGGCAGTTGGTCATTTGTTTGCTTGTTTCAAAGGCCTAGTCCTGAATTTACAAGAAAGTGTTACTAAGACTCCTTGTGTTATAGCTTCCTGTAAATGTTTATATTAAATACCCTAGCATGGCACCTGAAAGTCCCTATGAAAGCCTCAATACTTACCGCAATGTCAGAGTGTAGTCTCCCTGCATCTTGGTCGATGCATCTCGCACCAAGAATGTTCCATCTGGCATGTCTCGTAATTTGTCATTTACTTCTTCTCTGGAGAAATTAAAGGTTGAAAGAAGGGTAAAATTAAAAGTGGTAGAGGTTTGATTCACTTTCAGACAGACATTCAGACTGGGGTCAAAGCCAGGGTGTGTAAGGTGTTAGGTTTCCTATTTTGCCTTCAAAATATTATGCAATTTAACAAGTGAATGTTTGCTTTTTAAGACACCCCTTTCAAGCACAGGATCTCTACAGGAGATAAGGTGACCGTAAAGGCCAAATAGAAATATTAAGCAGGTTTGAACTTGTACAGTGTCAGCAAAAAACAGCAACTGCACTCAACTGCTTTTTCGAAAGGAAGTTATGTTTAAGCAACAGAAGCATCTGGGCCTCAGAACTCACCCAAGTTTATAAACTTTCCCTGTATTGACTCGCTTTTAAATCCACACTGGAAATAGGTGCCCTTTGTGAAGCCAGTTCCCACATGGTAAGAAGTTGACATTGGCACCATCACTCCAGATGACCAGAATATCACACAACTCTGAATTTCAGGCTACTCATTGCTGACACAGCATAGCTTTGCTCTCATTTACAGCAGTTTTGACCACTGTAACTCCACTAGCTTCAGCTGAAGTACTCCTTACTCAGAATACTCCCAAGCAAGGGGATAACTGGGTCACAGACTCTTAAGTGAGAGGCTTTTATGGAATTGGTAACAGCTCTAAAAACATTTTAAAAACAAAAACACCAAGTTTTAAAGCATTAGTTAAACTTTAAGGATACCTGCTTTACATGCCATACTTTGCTATTTATTGCACCTTTGACACAGGAATCTTAGAAGCACCTTAGAAATATTATTAGACTGGAAGCATGTACCCCCAACAGCATGCATAAGGCAGGAAATGGAATTCATTTTAAAATGTGAATGGGATCATAAATATTTTAGTGCAGATGTTGCTATTGGAATTTGTTTTTTTCAAGTGTCCTTTGTTTGCAGTTGTCTATCCTAAAAGACTGTCCATTGAGAAGAGCAATTCCAAATATCAGATATTGATGGCACTCAATAAGGAAGTATTCTTTCCCATAATCTCAAGCTATAAAAAAGTTTGTATTCATTGGTAACAGCCAAAATTAGCTGGAAAGATTGCCCTTGCATTTTCTAGAACAGTGCACTGGGCTGAGGACAAAGCTCACACTAGAAGGTCTCAACTAAGGATCTCAACCCTCCACTCCTCTACACAGGAGACCCTTGCAGTGGGCCCAGAAGGCCAACAAGCACAGCCTATATATGCACTGGGTCTCACCCTGATATTTACAGCCAGATCAATGGCTCTAGTAACATCAGCGGAGCAAAACCTATGCAGAACTAGTGTGAGTGAAGTGAGACTACAGGATTTTGCAATGAAGGTTTAGCATTATTCACTAAATGCCTTAGTTGTGGCATTCCCTATTCATATCAGCTTATAATGTGATTATTTGAGAAATGGTAGTACAAGTTGGATTGGAAGATTATTTCCCTTTGTTAGGGCTCCAAGCAGTTAGTGGGGATAACAAAGTTACTGCCAAACACTTACCATCATGTGAAAGGAAAGAAGGCTGAATATTATGCACAATAGAGTTCAACCTTTTTCTGCTCAGAACATAGGCCCACCTGTTTGCCCCCCACCAATTCCACATCCAAGCGCCTTTGTACAACTATAGCCAAGGAATTAAGTCGACAGTAGAAAGGTACTCACTTCCCAGCTTAGTCTGCCAAATAATTGATCTTTCACATTCTGAGCCTGTTCCATAGCCCACTTCTTTTCTCAAGCACAAAGGAAATCACCAAGTAGGTTACAGGTGGCTGGCTTAGGGAAAAGGTTTAGACTAATCCAGTGGGTGCTACAGTACTGACAGTCTAAAGCAGGGATGTCAAACTCTGCTCCTGCCCCAGGCCAGATCTAGACCCTGGGGCTCTTAGAGCGCTGGATCCAGCCTAGGGCAAGGGGTGACTCTAGCAGTAGCAGTGGCTCCAGTACCTAATTGGTGCATGCAGCGGTGGCAGCTCCTGCTCCCACTGTACAACCCATGCAGGAGCTGAAGCTGCTGCTACCAACATGCGTTTTATGCTTGGGTGGCAGCTCTGGCTCCAGCACGGAGCACCCAGCAGTGACAGCTCTGGTTTTAGGTCTGGTACAGGGCTGTGGGGCCCACTGGCTGAGGAGCTGGGGCTGCCACAGTGATGGGCAAAGTGGCTAATATGCAACCACAGCTGGGTCAGCCCTTGCTCATTCTCCTGCCACTAATGGCCATGTCCACCTGGGCTGAAGGGCCCCAGATTCTGCAGCAGGTCACACTCCTCAGCCCCATGCCACACCACCCAGTGACCACCAGTAGCTCACCAGGCTAGAGATACTGACTCCACAGACTGGACCTGGCTTGTGGGCTATGTTCAATGACCCCAGTTTAAAAAGTTTATGCACCATTAACAGCTCTGCAGACAATATTTCTATTCAATAATATGAAAACAAATTAATACTAAATAATTGGCAATCAAAAACATCTTCTTAAAGAAGAGTAATAGATCTGAGAATATATTATTTTAGCCAATATATTCTGGATAGTTTTTCTTCATGCCCCAACAGCTACATTAAAAGCAACTTTAATTCTGTGGCATGACTTATGAACTTAGCTTTCCAGCATCAAGACTGTGAGCTACTGTTCTCCAACTAATGATAATTGAGCAAATTAATGCAAAACATTGCTCTCAATTCAGTGAAGTACTTCAGCACAATAAGACACTCTGCTGAATCTGGGCCTGAATGAGTTCCTGCTCCAAAATGCTGTTAGAACATGAACAGATTGAAGAGGGGAGTAGAGCTCAAAAAGCTCAGTCTACTCCAAATATGAATACTCTTTACCTTGAGATGTCCCCCCAGTACCATTCAGCATCCTGCAAAGAGAAACTGGAATTGTCCTTTATCCCATTTGTGTTGACTGGAGTCATTGGTTTTGGAGGCTTTGGAGGAAGAGCTGAAAAAGAAGAACAGATTATTTTATACCATGTTACCAGAACCTTAGAGGTTAATACAGAGTCAAGAGATTTGGTTAAACTGCATTTTTGGCTTTGCCTTACGATGTGTGTTAGCAAACGAAAAAAAGTTATAAAACCTGCCAGTGACTAATGTGGGGGCAGACCCCTTGAACTTGGATGCATTCTCTCTCTCAAAATGAATGGGTTTCATAATTGAAAGAGGAAGTCCTTTATACCATTCCAACATATGACAAGCAACCTGAGCTCCTCTCTAAATGGAATAAATGTGGGGGAAAGATCACTGAAGCACAAGCTCTTGCTCTGAGAACTCAAAGTAAGTTATGATAATCTGGAAAAATGAGTTGCCCACCACACTGCCAAACAATATATGAAGGGCTAGACTGTGGCTTTAAGGACACAGCTTGGAAACAGTGTACAGGGGGCTGCTGCAGAAGCTGCACTTTACATGTGCGGTGATCCTTGCTACAGCTTTTCAAAGAACGCAGGAAGGAGGGCATGCTTATCCCAGGCCAGCCTTTCTGGATGGTGAGAGCAAAGGGAAAAATTGGAGCATGGTTCCCATCCTCCACCCACAGCACAACGTTTAGGATGGTGGTCCGAGGAAACTAGTGCTGGAAGGGGCCTCACGAGGGCATGTCTTGTAATTTGCCCAGCCCCCTGCTCAAGGCAGCATCAGCCCTAACTAAACCATCTCATCCAAGTGTCTGTCCAACTTGCTCTTGGAAACCGCTGGACAAGTGAGCCAGAGGGGAAGAAGGCGAGTTCAAGACCAGTTTAGCCCTAACCAAACCATCAGCTCTCCAAGCCGAGAACAAAGGGGTATCAATGCACATACAGTAAAGAACAGAACTGGTTTCAGCTAGGGATTAGTTTGTTTTTAACCAGCTAATTAAGTACAGGACAGGGCAAGTGTAACTAAGTGAAAGATCCTTGTAGTGCATTCAACGCAGAGATCTTTTACTTGCATTCTCAAATAGGCAGTGAGGGCAACATACACAATACTGAGGCTCTTTCCCTACTGTCAGTTTGAATTCCTACATACTGCAATGTATTAGTTTAATGAAGGTGTACATATCATACTAGGCTGCCTATTCCCTTAATGCTGGCT